ACATCACCAGTCATTAAAACCCAAATCTAAACCCATTGCCATTGAGTCATTCCTGACTTACAGTGACTCTATAGGACAAAGCAGAACTCCCCGTAAGATTTCCAAAACCGTAAATCTTTACAGAAGCACACTGCCACAAAACAGCTAGTGGGTTCCAACTGCCAACCTTTTGGTTAGCAGCCAGATGCCTTAACCCCTGTGCCACCAGAGCTCCCTCTTTAGTCATTAGAGAAATGCAAATCAAAACCACAATTGAATACCACTTTATACCCATTGGAAAGACTATTATCAGGAAAACAAAAACAAGAGTTGAAGAGGATGTAGAGAACTTTAAATTTTATCCTTTTCAGGTGGGAATGCAAAATTGTGCAGCTAATGTGTAAAACACTTTGGAGGTTCCTCAAAATATTAAACATACAATTACCATATGACCCAGCAATCCCACTTCTACTTATATGTTCAAAAGAACTAAAAGCAAGGACTCATGCAGATACTTGTACACCAATGAACATTGCAGCATTATTTACAACAGCCAAAAGGTAAAAACAACCCAAGTATCCATTGACAGATGAATAGGTTAACAAAATGTGGTATATCCATACAAAGAAATATTATTCAGCCATAAAGAGAACTGAAGTTCTCTAGACGGTACCTGGCTAGCACTGTCAATTACTGAGAAAGGGATTAAAATAGGAGATCCTGGATAGAGGGGAGAAAAATGTGGAACAAAATTCAAAATCATAAAAAAGATCAGGCTCACTGGTCTGCTAGAGACTGGTGAAACCTCCAAGACTACGTTCTTCAGGCCTGGAATTGAACTCATTCTCATGGCTTCTAGTTTAATAGACCTTGTGTATAAGGTGAACATTTACACCAGGTAGGTGTACTCCTTAGAAACATCAACTATGGGAAATGAGAACGGCAGGCAGTATTTGCATAGGGGAATAGTTCTGAGGGCAGGAGTGCATAGGAAAAAAGGACACAGAGAAAAGGTAACCACAGGAAGGAAGTGAGAAGAGAGCTGTAGAATTGGGGGGATTGTAGTCGATGTCATTGAGACAAAATGTGTATGAAGTATTACATGGAAAATAAATCTACTCCGTAAACTTTCACCCAAATCACAACAAAATTAAATTAGAGAGAACTGAAGTTCTGCTCCATGGATATACCTAGAGAACATTATGCTAAGTAAAATAACTCAGACTCAAAATGACAGATACTGTATGATTCTACTTATGTGAAATATAGGCAAATGCACAAAGACAAAAGTTATGGGGTAGGGGGCTGATAAGAACAGAAAGGGATTGCTTAAGGGGTACTGGGTTTTGTTTGCAAATGGATAGTGGTACAGGTGTGCATATGGTAAATATGATAAATGACACTGAATGTACACTTGAAAGTTGTTGAAACAGCAAATTTTTTTGTGATATGTTTTACCACAATTTTTTTAAAAAGATTCTTATTCTCTTTTACTCTATTAATGTATTTATCTGTATCTTAGAAATGATTGAATCAGGAACAAAAAAGTCAGGCTCTTTTGATTTAAAATAATAAATAAACTTATTTTAACACATGCTTTTTTCTACTACATGCTTAAAGAGCCTTTTTAAATTTATATTTCTTTATATTTCTGCTGTTAATAATCTTTACTCAGAATGTTGTAACAACAGCATGAAGTACCAGAAAGGGTCACAAAATCAAGAGAAATCACCAGAATGATCAAATACAACAAATACTTCAAAATGCTATCCCACCACATTTGTTTTACTTTGTAAAAAAAAGTAAAAACTCACAAAACAGGTCAGCATGATGTTTTCTCAAAAATATTATTTTAGCTTTATGTCTCCTCTTAGTCCCCATCTGTTCTGGTTACCTAGTGCTGCTTTGACAGGAATATACCACAAATGGGATGGCCTTACCAAGCAGGAGTTTATTCTTACAATTTGGAGGCTTTAAGTCCAAGTTCAAAGTGCCAGGCTCTAGAGGCTGGGTGAAAGCCCCTCAACCTTGGGGTCCAGCTCTGTCCCCTGCTCCCAGCCCACTGGAGCTAGAGGCGTTTCTTCACTCAGCTGCTGGCT